AAGTGGACTGATGAAAAACTACAACTGCAAAAACAGGAGATCCCCAACTAACTCGAACCCAATACCAACCGAGATTACACTATCAACACGCTAGCTTCAACGAGACATAGCGCTATGGGGAATGAATACGCCAGGAAATTGTTATTATGGGCACTGACGACTCGCGAACGCTGTGAAGCCAGATAGACGTGCTAAATGCCCAATATAAGGTATATAGAGAGAAACAAGAAGTGAAATAGTGTTAGGGTGTTGTAGAGTACTACTACTACTTTTGACCCTTGGTATACAAGTCGTAGTATACACCACGATTAGCCATAAGAACATCATGATTGCCAGATTCAACGATTTTACCATCAGTAATGACGTAAATAACATCACAATTACGAACAGTAGTCAACCTATGAGCAACAGTTACACTGGTACGACCAACAGAGGCGGTATCAATAGCATTCTGGACGATCTTCTCACTAGTAGAGTCCAATGCACTCGTAGCCTCATCGAGGAAAATAATATGAGGATCTCTCACAAGAGCTCTAGCAATAGCTGCTCTCTGCTTCTGACCGCCAGACAGACGACAACCTTTCGGGCCCATCGGGTCGTCCCACTTCACGCTGCCTCCCATAGAGGTAACATAATCCATATTGGACATACTAGCAACCTTCTCCAGCTCAGCCATAGACGCATCTTCCTTACCGTAACGGACATTCTCAGCGAGTGTCATATCGAAAAGGACAGGTTCTTGACCAACATAACCGTTTTTGCTCCTCCACCAGGCTACATCCAGCATCCTGATATCATCGCCACCAATGCAAATACTGCCACTCTCAACATCATAGAACCTCTGCATGAGTGCCATGATAGTCGATTTGCCACTTCCTGAGGGTCCAACAAATGCCACCTGCTGACCCGGCTCAATACGAAAGGACACCCCCTTGAGAATCGGCAAGTCGGGGTTCGTAGGATACTTGAAATGAACATCCTTGAACTCAACTACTCCATCACCCATATCACTGATCGTACCGTCCGGGTGCATGGCGTTGATTACAGACTCCGTATCGAGGATTTCGAACACATCATGAGCAGAGACCTTAGCTTCAGCAACATCAGGGAGGAAGGCCATAGCCTGACCGACCGCCATAGCAGCGAACATAACAGCCATAAGCGACTGCAACATGTGGGAGTACTCCAAACCGTTGTAGACCATAAGGTGACCTCCATACCAGAAACCCAGGGCGTATGCCAGGAAGATGATACAGTTCGAACCACCAAAGAGAACACCATGAAAGATAGCGGTAGTGCCAGAAGTATCACTAGCAATACTAGCAAACTCCGCATAGCGGTCTACAGTCCACGACTCTGCCATAAACGCTCTCACTGTGCGCATGTTCTGGATGGCCTCCGATGCTATCAGCTGCGACTGCTTGAGGTTATCCTGTTCCTTTTTTCCTGACATCCTCACAGACATGTTGAACTTAGCAGCCATCATCAGTAACGGCAACATGGCCAACATCACCAAAGTCAGCTGCCACGATCCACAGAAGCCAATGATAACACCAACGATCAAACCAGTTATCGCTTGAGAATAGATACCCAAACTCGAACCAGTGAGAGAGTTCATCTTCACCGCATAAGTCGACAGCGAGGCAGTCAACTTGCCAGAGGCGTGCTCCGGGAAATCAAAAAAGCCCATATCCTGTTCCATTATCTTGGCAAAACATTGTTTACGAACATTACATGTGAAATTTTCACCGAGGTAACCCAGCGAGCCCGACTCGATGAGCTGACCAAAAAATATCATCACTCCCAAACCGATGTAATAGAAGCATATGTTATCAATATGTTCCATCACCAGAAATGGAGGATAATAAAATGCGAATAACGCACGCGACAAGATCAGTGCATTTATCGGAAATGCCGATCCCGTCATAAACGACCCCAACAGGGAGGGCAGAAACCACCATTTTTGATCCTTGTTAAACGCCAGCAACCTCCTCCAAGGCGTCTTATACGTCTTGGCAATCTCAGCCTTGCGCTCCTTCTCCTTCTCCTCCTCCGTTTTCAACAAAGACTCTCCTTGGTTGTCATCATCGGCATCATCATCACCAATTGTACCACTAGTAGCCGTTCTTGCCATACCACTCTTCTTCCTATTCACAACCTCACTAGCAGTATCTACCGACGACCCCGCGACACCCTCAGTAGTGGCCAATTTCTCATCGTCCTTCACCGCAGCAGCAGCCTGTGCCGAAACCAAAGAGGCATAAACACCTTGCTGAGCCATCAGCTCATCGTTGCTGCCCTTCTCAACCAGTTCTCCCAACTTCATCACGAATATCACATCAGAATTCTTGATAGTCGACAACCTATGCGCGATCGAAATCGTCGTAATACTCACAGTAGACTGCAAGTGGTCGATCGTAGCTTGCACCATCTTCTCACTCTCGTTATCAAGGGCCGACGTAGCCTCGTCCAGCAGCAGAATCTCAGGGTGCCGCAGCAGAGCTCTAGCAATGGCGATTCTCTGCTTCTGGCCACCGGACATTTGACTGCCACCTGGACCAGCATAAGTGTCAAACCCCTCAGGCAGGCCCTCGATGAAATCCAAAATTTGAGCATCTTTGCATACCTTCCTCATCTCTTCCTCACTCGGTACTCTACTACCAGTAAGACCATACCGGAGATTATTTCGAATACTATCAGCAAACAAGAACGGTTCTTGGCCGACATAACCGAACAGAGCACGATGCTCATGCACGGGCATACTTTTAATATCAACTCCATTGACAAGCACCTATGGAAAAAATCCCCGAAAAAAAACGGAAAAAATATTACTTTTCCCT